TGCATAATGAAATCCAATTGAATCCCTCAATTTGCAAATCTAAAACTAAATCAATTGAAGAACGGACCTGGATCTTGGCTCAATGCAGATCCTCGGAGGCAAAGAAACGGCGGCGGTTGAGTTGAGAGAACTCGACGGTGGCAGAAGGCGGCAGAAAGCAGGTTTTCCGGCGAGACAAAAAGCTGAAGAAACGGACCTGGATCTTCAAGGAGAGCTCAATGCAGATTCGCGGAGGCAAAGAAACGGCGGCGATTGAGTTGAGAGAGCTCGACGGTGACGAAAACCTCATTTTCCGGTGCGATTCTGCTTTCCGGCGAGAGCTCGACGCGATCTCTCTCTCCCCGATTTCTTTTTTTTTTTGGTTTAAAATTTTGCAGTTTTTAATAAATAGATAAATAATACTAAGGGTATTTTCATCCTCTCACATATGTTTCATTAAAAGGAGGTATGAAGATGAGAAAGGGAGATAAGAGATTTGTGTTGGCTGAAATTGTCTTTTTGAGATCATGTCTCTGTGTACTCAAATGATGCTTGCAAAAGTTTCACTTCAAGATTTCACTCCTTACATCTTTTTATCAAAAATTTCAATCAATAGATTAGCCCTGGAAACTTTAACCGAAACCAAAAAACTACATATAAATTATCTCAGTGGATCTCAGTCTTTCGATCCATTGGTTTCAGTTTGATTCGGTTTGAAACCGATATTTAATAGGTTAACCGAAAAACCAAAACTTTTATATACATTAACATCACCTATATATGTATTCATCTCTGTTTTGTTTTGATTATGAAAGATTTTTAATACAGATGAGTGTGTTTTTGCTTTTTAAATGCATTTGTACAAAAAAAATGGTGAATGTTGATCAAGAAGCTGGTGAATGTTACAAAGTTGGTGAATGACGATACATTTTTAAGACCTTACTTTTCTCTACTATTTCTTATCAAACTCAACTTAACTCTCTACTCTTTATTACTTATTATTTCTTATTTTCGGATTTAAACTTATCTACCTAAGTATTGTCTTCTCACACTTCTCTTATGAATTTGGAACTTTTTATTTTCAGATTATTGCACTAAATAGTAAGACCGAACCGAACCAAACCCGTAACTTACTATGTCTAGTGCTACACTAGATAGTACAGAAAAACTACAAACTGTTCGTCCATTTATTATACCTTATTAATTTTCCAAATTCGTAGGTTCATTGTTTTAAGTATAATTGGACGATAAGGTAATGTGTGAAAGAGTGGTATAATGAATGGTGGTAAAGTCAAAACGTACAATAGTGAATGGCAACTGATTCACATTAAATTAAGGACTCAGAAATTTAATTAGTTGAGCACAAACATTCGAAATCTTATAAATCATTCTTCTTCCCACCAAACCATCTCTCCGGCTCTCCCTACTGTTCTCATTTACACATCTACTTTATACAATTTCCCATTTACACATTTTAGACTTTGACTTCCAAAATTATAAAATAAATGTAGTAGAGCCTAGTTACAAAACAGTGATCGAAGAGGTAATTAATTACAACTCGTTATGCAGTTTTAATGTGAACAAGTATATTTTTTCCTTCTCGATATTAGTTTCAAAAATTATCTTCCTTTAAATGTACATATTTTTAGTTTCGTTTCATTTCTAAAATTAACTACATGAGAAAAACATTTATTTTCTGTCAAATGTTATACGTAGTCAACAAAAAGAGAAGTTCGTTCCCTTGTACAATGCAAGGGGAAAA